TTTTATTATTTATAATATAAAATTAGAAATAAATATCATTCAGTTGACAAATAGGCAATAGCTAAATATACCAAATTGTTGTATAAATGTAATTATACTGCATACAATTATTTAAAATGTATACAAATAGGTTAGGTACCTATCTGTATTTTTGACTAATGTAAGTGCCTATTCATATTTTATAAATTTAAATAATAAATAGTAACCAAGGCTAGGAACTTAAAAATATGCAGTAAAAATTTGGAAAATATGCAATTTATTGAATAAAATACATTTTACATACAAAATTTAAAAATTTTAATTAGGTAGGTGTCTGGAAAAAAAATTAGAAGAAATTTAAAAAAAAATAATACCGCACGCTTATGTATTTAATTACCTACGATTATACAATTTATTTATATCATGGTACAAAATATTAATCGTGGTAAATTTGAATAAAAATAAATACGGGCCGGTCAGCGATCACTATTACAAGTTCTCAGTAGTAGATACAAAGATTATAATATTATTTTTGGGAGCAATAGTAATAGCCGTTGATGAATTAATTTATTTTGTCAAACAATATTAAAAGTATAAATTGCTAAAAAAAAATTGTTCACGTTAATTCTATGATATTATACGCATATAATTGAAGACTGGAAATCAATAACGGGCTAAGTGCCAAAAAAAAAAAATTGAGTTAGACTCAAAAAACTGAGCTATGTGCCATCGCCAATAACCTATAAAGAGGGCTATGTGCCACGACCATAATATTGGTGTACAAAAAACCCAAAGAAATGTCATGAGAGCTATATGCCGGGTGTGGTTCTAACGGGCTAAGTGCCATTGTATAAATTTATATTTATTTTAAAATTTCCCAGAATTCATTGTATCTTATCGATCTATTTAAAAGTAGATTTATCGATAAATGGTCACTTAATCGTTTTGATTAGGAGATTTAATATTATTACATTCGAAATAATATAATAGTAATAGCTAGTATTCATTATTACGTGTGCTGTGTGCGAGTAACGACTGGTTTTAATAATATAAACTTTACGTATGATTTTGCTTTGCGACTGTTATATTTATTTAATTTTTTAACTGTAATATTGTAACGATGGAATTAAATAGTGTTACGAACAAAATACGACAAAAAGGAAAATCAGTTCGTGAAGAACAAAAACGTCGTAGAAGTGAAGGGAAACCTTATATAAACAACAAAAATATGCTCGTGAAAGGAAAAACTGGGCCTCAAGAAGAGGTAAGTCATATTTTGATTTTAATTATATTTGTTCAAATTTAAATAAAAATAAAATATTGGAAATATGAAATATTTATAGAGGATGTATATTGTCTGTTTCAGTTCTATTGTAAGTGTAAATTTCAGTGTAAATGTGTCCCATACAAACATAGACAGGTTTTGTTTCACGAATTCTATGCCCTCAAAGATACTGTGAAGCAAAACTCTTATTTAATGGGTCTGATGGTCATAACTCCCGTAAAAAGAAGACGTCATGGTCAGTATAATGACGTGAACGAGAGCAGGCGGCAAAATACGATTTGGTTTTCATTGCCAGATGGAAATGGCGACGTGATACAAGTATGTAAGAACACTTTTATGCATGTTTTTGCAATAACCAAACGAAGAATCGAAACTCTCGTGTCAGCTAAAAAAAAGGGTGAAGTAGTATTCACAGAAAAGCGTGGTAATAAGGCCCAAAAAAGTAAGTTCACAGCAGCAGATGTGGACTTTGTTATTGACCATGTTAACTCTTTTCCAAGGGACGAGAGCCATTATGGGAGAAGAAAAAGTAACAAGGAGTATTTAAGTCAAGATTTAAATATCAACAGGTTGTACCGTGCCTTCAAGGAAAAATATTCAGACTCCAACATAACGTACAAGTTTTATTATAAAACCTTTAAAAAAAATTTCCCTCAAGTTTCATTCCATCGACCGCGCACTGATACTTGTTCCAAATGCGACTTACTATCAGCAGAGATTTTAGCAAAACCTAGTGATAGAACAGTAAAAACCGCTTTACAACTTCACCATAGAAAAGCTGAAAAAGCAAGAGAAGTAATGAAACAAGATACTATATTATCTCAGCTCCCTAATAGTAACGAATCAATGTGTTCAATAGATCTTGAACAAGTTCTGTCTCTTCCATTTTTAACCCATGGCCAGATGTTCTATTCACGGCAGCTTTCATGTTTCAATTTATGTGTTCATGTTGGTGACAACAACAAAGGGCTCATGTTTTTGTGGCATGAGGGTATGAGTGGACGAGGTGGTAATGAAATTGCTTCATGCCTCTTTAACGCACTCAGTAGTCCTGCTCATAATAATGTCATGATTAAAAGAAAACTTACCGTGTGGTCAGATAACTGCATCGGACAAAATAAAAATAAAATGATGTTATTTCTTTGGATTTATTTGACAATTACAGGCAAGTATGATGAGATAAACCATAAATTTTTGGTCTCTGGCCATTCATATTTGCCATGTGACAGGGATTTTGCCCAAATCGAGAAACGCAAAAAAGTTGAAAATTGCCAAGTTCCTAAAGACCTGATTAAACTTATGGTGAATGCTACACCGAATAATCCTTTTATAGTTACTATGCTCCAACCAGACGACCTAATTGATTTTAAACAAGCAGCCGATTTATACATTAACACGACAAAACTAAATATTTCTAAATGCAGTTGGATTAAAATTGAAAAAAACGGAGTCGTTAAAACAAGAACAACGTTCAATGAACTTGAAACATGGAATACCTGCAAGGTTCTCAAAAAAGGGATTACAACTCAAAAAATTAAGGACTCAATTTTACCAACACTACCGTGTCATAACGGTCTATCTGCCGAAAAGAAGAAAGACCTGCAACAGATGCTCCCGTATTTGAAGATAGAAAATCGAGCGTTCTTCGAAGAATTAATTAAATAATTATAATTATATAATCATAATAAATTAATTTGTATGTAATCTGATATCTGAACAATTAAATGATTTAATTTATAAAAAAAACTAGACATTTTGTTCATTGGTACTTACCTCGTTTGTGACGGTTAAATATCTGGCACATACCACCTTCTACATTTTTCTGAATAAAATATTATTTTTAAAATATAAGGGGAAAGAAATTTAATACAATTTTGCAATAATTATATCAAACATAATCTAGATTATAAATAAAAAAATTGGTTTAGGTTTTTTTATCAAACATTTTTTGATAAAATAAAAAAAATTGAATAACTCAAAAACAACATTTTGGCACTTAGCCCATTATTGATTTCCAGTCTTCAATTAATGTTCTTATACCTAAAATAAGCGAATTTGTACAAAAAATCACGAAATATTCAAAATTATGCAACAAACATTTTTGTATTTGTAATATACATATACTTACTATGAATCAAATTTGTATCGAATCAGATTTTCAATATACACTTTCTAAACAAATATGTATACAAATGCTTAAAGTTCCGAGCCTTGGTAAGACTAATAACATACTTACATACCTATACTTTCATATTATG